CCCCAAAACCCCAAAACCCCAAAACCCCAAAACCCCTTTAGTGAAACACACAAATTTATTGAATAATTGATCAATTATATTTCCATGTAAAGCTTTTCTACTAATTTCAATTTTGAACCTAATAATATCTTGTCAATCTGTCTCCAATTCTCTCCTAGTTTTATTGAGCAAATTTTATAAATGATTATGCAGAACCTATGCAACCTCTTCAACTTCGCCCTCTCTTTTTAGTGCTTTTTGGAAACCCTTACTTTAAAAGTACTTCATAAAATGTTCAATGCATACATCTACTTTCTTTACTCTCTCCTCTCTAGCGAGGTCAACTCCACCACTTACTGGAACAGTCTTAATCTAAATCATATTAGGTCCCCATTGCTTCAAAATGTTCAGAGTTGTTTTTAGACCAGCTAGAATGTGAGTTTCATATTTACTGTTTACTAAGTTAATAGCATGAGGGATAATCTAAGCAATATTTTCGTAGTTGAGTACATCTACTTTCTAGTTTTCAGCAAAAGTATTATTCAAGACATCCATAACTATGCTTGTATCATTCATCATATTTAATGCATTAATAGCCGAGGTAATGTTTCCTTTTCCCCACCAATTTTATATTACATTGATACTGCTAATTCTTCTCTGAATAACACCTACTAATGTACTATGTTGACCCATAATTTCATTTATTATCTCTAAATCTCTCTTTTATGGAGCAGCTTAAGTATCTTGATCAAAATTTTTCAATTCTAAACCTAAAGGCTTATCTTATGGGGCTCTGATATATGTAGCTCTTGATAGATCAGCCATTTCAGCATCTCCTTAACTATTGCTTTATTACAATTGTTACGCAAAACTATTAGAGGTTTTCCTCTACAATTAATCGTTTTAGAGCTATTATTATTGCTAAATATCCTGCTGCTGCTATTATTAATAGTTTATTTACTATTACTGCTGCTGAACTTAGCCAAATGGATTTTCTTTTAATTGCTTTTATCTCTATCTTTCAATTTCCTCTGAGGTTTATTGAGATTTAACAAAGTTAGATTTTGGTTATTATTATTACATTGATGATGGCATCATATATTGATCTTAAGATGTTTTAATTGAATCACTAGAAGGAATAATATCAATTGACTCGTCAAAATTGATATTTTCAAGTGGTGTATACCAAACTGATATTGTATTGTTAGAAATTGCAGACATTAGCAGAAATTTCTCTTCATTCGCTATTTTAAGATCAGAGATGCTTTTCGGAATAATACTTAGACAGTCTAATAACTTGTTTGTTTCAATGTTCCAGAGCTTAATATTTTCACTTGAAGCTGCAAAGAGATATTCAGAATTTCTCTCTTCATCAAATGTTAGATTCGTGATTGCTGATGTATCAATTGGAGTCACATTTATATTGGCGAATTGCTCTAGATCCCAGTACTTAACTGTTTTATCTGTTGATCCATTAGCCAAAGCTAAATTTTATGGATTATACTGAATGCAAGTAACTGCCTACCCTGGGAATGTAAATTGAGACAAAACTTTTCCTGATGCAATGTCCCATATTTTAAGACTACCATCTTCTCCTCCAGATGCAACCCACTTAGAATCAGGAGATAATTAGCAACTATTAATTACTCCCGTATGCTCTCTAAATGTTTGAGTGCATTTATTAGTTCTTATATCCCACACTTTTACCTTTGTATCTTCAGAGCCAGTGACTAATAAACTGCTTCCATTCATTTGATCACTATTAAGAGTTGTGCATTTTGTAGCGTGCCCCTAAAGTTTACCTACTTCTTTTTTTGTAGCTAAGTCCCAAATATGAACAGTACCTCCATAGGTTCCTGCATAGATCTATTCAGCGCTAGCACTAAATACCAACTCACTAACTCCTGAGGTATGCCCATTAATCACCTATCTAAGTTAAGAATATGATTAAAATGCTTACCATCTTAGGCAAACATTTACTCAATTTCCAAAGATTAATGTTTCTTTGATCATCACCAGATGCTAATAGCTGATAATTAGGTCCTCCAAATTTCGCACATGTAATCTTAGCTCCACTAGTGACCTAATAGTCATTCTATTTCATTACTATAGATTGAGTCAAAAAGGTTAATGAGAAAATTACATCTCTTCTTTTCAAATTTGTTCATATTAGGTTTAATTTCGAAATTTCAATTATTATTATCTTCAAGGTTAACTCATTACAAACTTATTAATATTTACAATAACGATCAATTTAATTTAATGAGATCGAAAGTATAAAAGTATTTAAGCTGCATATTGATATGCTCTTCCTGTCTGATAATAAATTTGAAAGCTTAAGAGACATCTAATTTCAGACTAGATTTTGGATAAGATTGTGAAGCTAATTCTCAATGCTAATCTTAATGTTGCTTCAACACCAAGTGCTTCGATTTTGAGACATGCTAATAAAGTAGAAAACTCGAGGGAGATTTTTGTAATAAAGATCTTGAATGCAAATCTTAATGTTGTGGATCAAATAATCAATGTAATGACCTTGAATGTACTTCATATTTCATGAGTCATAGCACTACCTCGATAATTGTTTGGATTTTACACCTGCTAATATTCACATTCGGAATAGCTTTCATATATGATGTATACAGACAGCACAAGTAAACAAATCCACATAGTTCAATTGAGGATCAAGATGACCTGCAAATGCCTTTGCTCTCAGATGACTAGAGAGGTACTTCGCATTTGAGTTTAAATAAATGGAGTTCCATTCAGTATAATAAAATGTAAGATATGGTATAAACTCCTCTCAGATTTAAAAGAAGATCGGAGGGAATTAGTATAAAAAATGAGCTTGCAGATACTTATTATGAACTCAAGAGTCCCGGCATAAGAATTAAACATAAAAATACCTTAAATTCATTGAAAATTTGAGAGAATTTGAAAGAATCTGCGAACTTGATATATTATCTATGGCACTATATTATAATTTTATATAAAAGCATAAATCATTTAAAATCCCGAATCGATATTCACGGGGTTTTGGGGTTTTGGGGTTTTGGGG